CAAGAGCTGCGCTCTAATTCGGCGTTACAGGGGACTGTAAACGTCTTTCATTTTTTTTTATTTATACGTTAACGATAGCCCAGGTCAAATATAAAAAATAGGCTCTTTGAATTGGAAGGCGATACAGTAATTTTATATGCCCACAAAGATTACAGAGTAGCTGTAGAGACGGTATAAAAATACATTGATAAATTACCAGAATGTTCCCCCTAAAATTGTTGTAAACGTTCCTAAAGCACAACTATTATGCTTCAGGGACCAGAGAAAACAAGCCATTACTGAATTACCAATAGAAATACATGAACACAATTCCAATAATTGCTCATGCGTTCCGTTCAAATACCCTGAAATTGCCAAATACCCAGGGATGCACATAGACAAACATATTAAATAGGACATCCATGTAGAGCAAATTTGTAAAAAAAGTAAGGATATTAATGGCGCGGGTGTATTACATACAAGATTTGGTCCCTTGGTCGATACTAAGAATGATATACAATTCACTGGGCATCAATATATGAAATAACAGTCTACGGACAGTGTGCCATATAGCTATAACTATAAATAGAACCGGTCCAAAAAAGGATCATAAGAAATGTGGGTTACCTAAGTGAAGAATCTGATCTGCAAAATTATATGAATAAAGATCTAGGAATGTTCCGTTTTAGAGATCAGATGAGGTATGATATTATTATAAAACATTTTTTCAACAAAAAAACATAAAGTGGAAAATGCCAAAGGAAGAACGTTAAGATCGAATGAAAATACATGTTTAAAGTCCACGAACAACGTGAGGAAACTGTCGAAGAATACAGGCGACAGGATAGACGCTGAACTCACAACTGAATAGTTTAATAGTCTATCCAGAAGAGAAGAAAGAGAGGACATACAACAAACAGTCACGTGCTCATGGCACAAGAACACTAGGGTGCGGGGCAATCGCTTTAGCGCAGCGAAGCGTTTAAAAACGAAACTTTGTTCTTAGATAGAGTAACAGAATGATGGCTCACGCATTGTTCCCCCAGACCTTCTATAATATACGCCTCGTAAATTTCTCTAGAGAGTTTTTCTTTATGTCTACGTTTGTTCGGAAGCCATGGATTTACTACGCGCTGGGCACAAAGGCGTAGTGTCAATGAAAGGAACAGACAGGAGCTATTTATGGTGGCCTGCGATCGACAAGGACATTGAGTGTGTCGTCAGAGAATGAATGAATCCAGGCGTACACCGGTGAAGGCAATAGTTCCTATCTTGGAGCACGCATCTCAGCCATGGCATACGATACACCTTGATTTCGCAAGACCGATGGAAGGACACATGTTCCTCGTTGTTGTGGATGCGTGCACCAAATGGCTGGAGGTGAGAGCAGTGACTTCGGCAACCTCCACAGCTGTTATTCGTGAACTGCGTGCTATTTCCGCGACTTTTGGCCTTCCACAGAAAATTGTGTCAGACAATGGGACCGTTTTTGTATCAAGAGAGGGGCTCGACTTTTACAACCGAAATTGAATAAAAGCGGTGACAAGCGCACCCTACCATCTCGCCACCAACGGCCAGGCTGAGCGCATGGTCTATGAACTGAAACAAGCGCTTCAGTAGGATAAAGTTGGTAGCTTGTTGGTGAGACTGGCAAGATGCCTCTACAGGCAGCATACCACCGTTACAACTTCGACAGGAAAAACGCCTGCACTGCTTATGTTCGGTCGCGAACTTGCGTCAAACATTAACCGGCTAACACCAGAGCCAGAAACAAGCAACCAGAGAAAAGGCGAGGAAGGAAAGGAAGAGACAACCTCTTCACGCCACTTTGTTGAAGGGCAACCAGTGTTTGCCCTGACTTTTCGCGGGAAGCCAAGGAGGATGGAGGGAATGCTTCTCAAGCAGCTTGGTCTTCGGTCTTCGCTCCTTCAAACGACGCTTGGAGAAATTCGCAGGCACGTGGACCACATCCGGAGGCGATCGTTGGGTTCTACGTTACACGCATCTGGTTCCCCTGAGTCCCTCACAGGCCGCTCGTGCGAGTCATCGGCGCCAGCAGCGTGGTTCACAGCAGCGGAGGTTGAAACCGTCACTCAAACTCTTGCTACAGAGAAGCTGCCTCCAAGTCTACCGTTTCAGCATCCGGAAGAAACGACACCAGTAGACCCCGTCCAAGTTGGAAGGAGAGGTACCAGTGGACCCGGCTCAAGTGTATCGGCGCACCAACCCTCCCCAGGCTAGGCATCCACCTTCAAGATATGGACAGTCAATCTAATGGTACATTCGGCTGGTCGCTTTTCAGCCTCTTGGAGCGCTCTGAATAGCCGGTGTGCATTCAGCAGGTCGATGCCAGGCGCTCCAAGTATATTCGGCAGGTTCTTTCGGAGCGCTCTCGAAGCTCCGATTCTCGCCGCCCTCCGAATCGGAGCGGTTTGAGACGCTCTGGCTTGGAAGTGGGAGCGCGCGAGAGATCTGGCTGCCGATTGGTCGCGGGATTCCAGCCATTTCGCCATTCTGCTTTTGGGTCGGAAGCGGCCGGCGGGAACGCAGCTACTCCGCAGAAAGAGGGCTGCAAAAAAGAGCCGTCAGTCTCGACGCCGTCACCGTTGTGTTGTACTCTCCAGTTTGAGGTCAAATGTCGTTGAAACGAAGACGTTTAATGTTAGGGGCGGCACCGTCATTGCTGCTGGCGTAGCTAGCAGACAGCGACAACAGCAGCACCTCGGACGACGACGACGAGGGCCGTGTTTACGAAGCGAAGTTTGCCGAGGTCTTTGAGGCCCTTGTACGGTGCCCAAGGTCAAGGCCTATGTTTTTATAGTGCGAAACTACTCGGAGAAAGAGGTAAGAACAAAAGTACGATAAAAATTTCAAGCTCTAATGTTCATCATGTCGTATTACACCTGAGACTGCGGTGGAAGAAATCGGAAGAACTTTCAGTAGAAGGAACAGACACAGAGAACGTCTCAAACTCAGCAAACTGGTTTATTTCTCAAACAGCCTTTAAGTACCCACGGAACTTTTTCCCAACCACACTCTACAGATAAACTCCTTTGTTGCAGACATTTCAAACCGGATGGATACAAAAGATACAAAACAACCCACACATGGGACGAGGACTTAACAATGGGACACTGCGGATCATCGCAGTGACGTTGACAGAGATATGTCCCGAATTATCCTAACAGTCGCGTCAAAGCGCACAAAAAAAAAAAAAAAAAAAAAAAAAACCACACACAGGTGGTCTCTAAACCGTGGCAACGCACCCAGACAAAAAAAAAAAAAAATAAAAAAAAACCACAACTAACACTTTTTTTTTTTTTTTTTTCCCCTTTCCTTTCTTTGGGAAAACACACCCAAGTGATCTCGAAATCGCGATCACAAGCACATTTAAAAAAAAAAAATTTTAGATGTATATACACATATACATTGTCTCTCCCCCACCTTCTTCTCGTAAACCGAATGCGTTCGTTCAAAGTCTGAGAAACTTTTTGGAGTTGCGTCCAAGTTGCATCGATGCTTGGCTTATGCAGTTTCCGATAGAACTTATTCTTATTGTTTCTTTAACGACCCTCTTAATGTCATTTCGCTCTTTATGCAGAACTTCTGTCTCTGACCAATGCGCATTACAATTATTGCATTCCTCTATGTGCTTTGCTATTTCGGAGTTCGGCGCATGCGTGCGTACATTTCTCTGGTGTTCTAGTAACCTGTCATTAAGGCATCTTGAAGTTTGTCCCACGTACTTAAATCCACATGTCAACGGAATCTCATACACTACACTCTCTTTGCAAGGAACTGAAGGTTCCCGATGGGCCTTCTGACAACCCTTGTGGTCCGACAGAAAGGGCGTCAACCTGCTCAATTTTAAATCTGAAGAAAAAACTACGTCCACGCCGAACTTTTTTGCGAGAGCCTTTAGGTTGTGGGAAATCCCGTGGAAATACGGGATTACTGCTATCTTCTTTCTTGCTTCCTTTTCCCGTGGTTCGTTGTTAAATTTCAGTTCTAATTGTCTTTTAATGAATTCTTCTTCATAACCGGCAGATTCTAGCCTCCTCCACTGTTCTTTCACAGCACTACTCATAAAATGAGCGCATGATTTACCCAACGCGTTTGTTACTAAGGACTTAACTACCCCTGCTTTAACCGACTTGGCGTGACAACTCTTTCTACTTAACACAGGTTTTCCGGCTTTTTTCCCGTATTCCCAACAAAGACCTTCTTCGACATGTACGCGTAAATCTAGAAACTGCAGGATCCCATTTTCAGGTTTTTCAGTTGTAAACCTAAGCTCCGGAGCTGCTGTTTTTATAATCGATTCCAAAACCTGAGCCTCATTCTCTCGAAAAGCGCAAATAAAAATATCATCCACGTACCTTTTAACAATGCACCCATTCAAGTTATTTTCTTTAAGTGTTTCACTTACGCTACTATCTAAGGTGTTAAGATAGATTTCTGCTAACATCGAAGCCACCGAAGATCCAATGCATACACCATCTTTTTGAACATATTTCTGCCCATTATATTCAACAACTGTTGCTTGAAGGTACAAATCAAGAAGTGAAAGGAAACTGTCGACGGCGATGCCCGTCCTGGACTGAAAGTTTACCAGGTTTAACTCTAACACTTGCCGAACTCTTTGCATCAAGCGCACTTTCTCAAGCGAATAGTATAGGTCCTTAATGTCCATTGACATTACAGTGCATTGTCTTCCATGAAAGCCCTCTAGAACATCAATTAGTGCCTCTGAATTTCTCAGTGAAAGACTCCCCTCCAGTTGAATTACATTCAACCCTCTTTGCAAAAATTTCGAGACGCTACACTGCCACGTTCCGAATTCGTTGATTACTGTGCGAAAAGGCATATCCGGTTTGTGATCTTTCAAAAAAAATTTTAGACTTAACGAAGACCTTGTTTGGTTAACTACTTGTTTTGCCAAATTATCCATCTCATCTTCCTTGAAGATTTCAACAATATTCTTCTTAATTTTCTTAATGTTCCCTTTCCATTCAATGAAGACAAAAGTGGTATGTTCGGTGTCCTTCCCGAGACAGTGTTCAGAAGAAAGGCAGACGAAGCCCTCGGCGCACTCTTTATTGAATGGAAAGGGAACATTAAGAAAATTAAGAAGAATATTGTTGAAATCTTCAAGGAAGATGAGATGGATAATTTGGCAAAACAAGTAGTTAACCAAACAAGGTCTTCGTTAAGTCTAAAATTTTTTTTGAAAGATCACAAACCGGATATGCCTTTTCGCACAGTAATCAACGAATTCGGAACGTGGCAGTGTAGCGTCTCGAAATTTTTGCAAAGAGGGTTGAATGTAATTCAACTGGAGGGGAGTCTTTCACTGAGAAATTCAGAGGCACTAATTGATGTTCTAGAGGGCTTTCATGGAAGACAATGCACTGTAATGTCAATGGACATTAAGGACCTATACTATTCGCTTGAGAAAGTGCGCTTGATGCAAAGAGTTCGGCAAGTGTTAGAGTTAAACCTGGTAAACTTTCAGTCCAGGACGGGCATCGCCGTCGACAGTTTCCTTTCACTTCTTGATTTGTACCTTCAAGCAACAGTTGTTGAATATAATGGGCAGAAATATGTTCAAAAAGATGGTGTATGCATTGGATCTTCGGTGGCTTCGATGTTAGCAGAAATCTATCTTAACACCTTAGATAGTAGCGTAAGTGAAACACTTAAAGAAAATAACTTGAATGGGTGCATTGTTAAAAGGTACGTGGATGATATTTTTATTTGCGCTTTTCGAGAGAATGAGGCTCAGGTTTTGGAATCGATTATAAAAACAGCAGCTCCGGAGCTTAGGTTTACAACTGAAAAACCTGAAAATGGGATCCTGCAGTTTCTAGATTTACGCGTACATGTCGAAGAAGGTCTTTGTTGGGAATACGGGAAAAAAGCCGGAAAACCTGTGTTAAGTAGAAAGAGTTGTCACGCCAAGTCGGTTAAAGCAGGGGTAGTTAAGTCCTTAGTAACAAACGCGTTGGGTAAATCATGCGCTCATTTTATGAGTAGTGCTGTGAAAGAACAGTGGAGGAGGCTAGAATCTGCCGGTTATGAAGAAGAATTCATTAAAAGACAATTAGAACTGAAATTTAACAACGAACCACGGGAAAAGGAAGCAAGAAAGAAGATAGCAGTAATCCCGTATTTCCACGGGATTTCCCACAACCTAAAGGCTCTCGCAAAAAAGTTCGGCGTGGACGTAGTTTTTTCTTCAGATTTAAAATTGAGCAGGTTGACGCCCTTTCTGTCGGACCACAAGGGTTGTCAGAAGGCCCATCGGGAACCTTCAGTTCCTTGCAAAGAGAGTGTAGTGTATGAGATTCCGTTGACATGTGGATTTAAGTACGTGGGACAAACTTCAAGATGCCTTAATGACAGGTTACTAGAACACCAGAGAAATGTACGCACGCATGCGCCGAACTCCGAAATAGCAAAGCACATAGAGGAATGCAATAATTGTAATGCGCATTGGTCAGAGACAGAAGTTCTGCATAAAGAGCGAAATGACATTAAGAGGGTCGTTAAAGAAACAATAAGAATAAGTTCTATCGGAAACTGCATAAGCCAAGCATCGATGCAACTTGGACGCAACTCCAAAAAGTTTCTCAGACTTTGAACGAACGCATTCGGTTTACGAGAAGAAGGTGGGGGAGAGACAATGTATATGTGTATATACATCTAAAATTTTTTTTTTAAATGTGCTTGTGATCGCGATTTCGAGATCACTTGGGTGTGTTTTCCCAAAGAAAGGAAAGGGGAAAAAAAAAAAAAAGTGTTAGTTGTGGTTTTTTTTTTATTTTTTTTTTTTTTTTGTCTGGGTGCGTTGCCACGGTTTAGAGACCACCTGTGTGTGGTTTTTTTTTTTTTTTTTTTTTTTTTTTTTTTTTTGTGCGCTTTGACGCGACTGTTAGGATAATTCGGGACATATCTCTGTCAACGTCACTGCGATGATCCGCAGTGTCCCATTGTTAAGTCCTCGTCCCATGTGTGGGTTGTTTTGTATCTTTTGTATCCATCCGGTTTGAAATGTCTGCAACAAAGGAGTTTATCTGTAGAGTGTGGTTGGGAAAAAGTTCCGTGGGTACTTAAAGGCTGTTTGAGAAATAAACCAGTTTGCTGAGTTTGAGACGTTCTCTGTGTCTGTTCCTTCTACTGAAAGTTCTTCCGATTTCTTCCACCGCAGTCTCAGGTGTAATACGACATGATTAGCTACCACCAGCTCGCCTGCACTCTCACCGTCTTTTCTCTAATGTTCACTTTTTTTTATAGTTTCGCAAGAACTTCCGCTTGGCACGGCTGGCGTGCCATGACCTTATCGACCAGTTTGAGAGGTCGAGCTTGTCCCCGTAAAATTCTCACCACAGCGGTTCGCCCCCTGAGACAGCAGAGGAGCACATTCTCTCGTTCCTTTGGTGAGTCACTTCAAATAACATGCGATAGCACTTGACAGCGCTGCGTCGAGTCTGAAGCAGCCGACGACGCACACAAAAAAGCAGATTTATACAAGGGTCGCATTTCAAATGATCCTCGTTATCATTTAGTCCACATAATTATTGTACCCTCCAATAATAAGTGAATTTTTACCTAAAACGGGAAGTAAAATGTGTGCTCACTGATTACTTAAGTACTTGCGGCCTCAAATTCCCCTTTGCTTGCGTGCCATACACGCAAGCAAAGAGGAGGGGGGGGGATGGGATTTATTACACGCACACAACGAACCGAGGCTCGTTGTGTGCGTGTAATCAAAGAACAAAGAGGGGGGCGGGTAAATTTATTTACACGCACACAACGAACCGAGGCTCTTTTAACACATTTATTATCCTGTACTGTTTATACGCATGCTAGTTGTATTGCACCAATTAAGGTCAAATAATTTCCACTCTCAGTGATATATGTTTTTAATGCCACGCATGTTATTAAATGTGTCGAAGTTGAAAACAAAATTCAACTGTATCAGAACTCAATGCATCAAATAGAAAAAAGAAACTGCAAATATTTTTGGATCATTGTCTCCTGTCAAGGCTTATTTTTATCAACATGGTTCTACACAAATTTTTAACATGATGTTTTTTTTTTTCGACCGTTGCGAGTGTCGCTGTCTTCACTAAAAAAATCCACAACAACCCTTTTGCATTGACACAGCAATTCGAAAATAATTACAATGTTTTATATTGAAACTTTTGGCGAGCAATTCTTTTTACAATATTTAGCCAGCAAAGGGAGAGGCACAACGGCGCATGCGCGTGGGTTTCCCTGCAAGAACAAAGGTCACTTCCCGCAATGCTTGGATAGAACCATGGCGTACCACTTCAATTCACACGATTACGAGCGCCCTCAGCGCTTCCCCGTTCCCGCCCCGTTGTTCGGCAGCACAATGAATCGCGGAATTTATTATACGGCAGTGTGAAATGCGGGACATTTTGAAGATTTTGAAATTTCTCGCGGGACGCGGTACACGAACCCTTAATGTGGGACAGTCCCGCGAGTCGCGGGACGGGTGGTCACCCTAGCTGGAGGAATGGCGATAGCCACAAGCAGCACGTGACACTGCACTCCGTCTGATTGGTCAAGCGAAGAGGGATGCCTTGGCGCAGCTGTTCTAAGGCACCGCACACGGGCACTCAGTGTCGGAGACGCTGCCCAACAGCCGCGGTACCAGACAAGTTCATCACAGTGTTTTTGCATTAATTAGGATTTATTGTAAACTGTAATGATCTCTTACAACTAACGCAGTCTCGTTGTGCTTATTGTCTGCTGGCGACCTCCTTCAATGCTTCCATTTTCTCCCTGTGAGCTTGCAGTAGCTCTTGGTGTCGCTGCTCTCTTCGTTTCTCCCGCTCCTCTTTTTTGTCTTCTTCCTCATCATATAGCGTTTTCACTTGTTCAAAGAAAAAGAGCATCTGTTGCGTGGGAGCATTGCTTGGACGCAACCCTCTGTCCGTTTTTCTTTTTTAAGACCCTCTATCGCCTCCTGAAGCACTTCGTTCAGTTGAGGCATCATCAGAACCAGCAGGGCTTGCAATTTCCTCGAAGCTATCCAGCTCGTCGTCCTGCGTAGCACACGATGACCCGGCTTTCGGAGAGTTTAGCGTTGAGACCTTGTGTGTAATATCCCTGTCAGACGGGCACCTAAGAGGACCTTTACGCCAAAGGACCTTTAGTGTAAATGTTATTTAGGCAGTGCCACACGGCAACTCAAATAGCATATATAGCTTAAAGGTCCTTTTCGTGAACCTGAGTTCCCACAACTCCTTTACGGCTGCTAAAGGCCTACTCTCGTCAGCAGCGGTCGAAATATCTTTAGCACATCAAATATGCCTTTGGCAATTTGCTTAAACATTGCGCGCTTGTTCCTAAATTTTTTCATCGGACCAACTTGTCTTGCATACTGGGCCTAGTAGTTTAACAGCTGTTTTGTTTCTGCCTCTTTTCATTGTGCTGTTGAGAAAAAAAGAAAGGAAACAAAAACAGGTAAGCTGGCTTGCTCTAGTCTAACAATCAAATAATTTTATTTTTGTTTAAAACATGTGATAACCATTTGAAGGCAAGTTCCCGTTTTCTGCTGGCACGTTTGGAACATCGGGACTTGTTTGGCTCCCTGTTACGCTGCTTGCTTGGCTCCCTGTTGATTGCGGTACCGATTCTGCAGAAAGCGCAGACCCCGGTGCTAAAAATCTAACATATCATCATTTTCATCATTTATTTCCTTGAGTTCTATAGTTCTATGTACATAAACACACTTGCGGCAAACTGAGTATCGCTGTCGCAAACTAATACCTAACTCACATGGCGCTATTTTACTTGCAATTTTGCAGTGTAAACGGACCACAAACCTGGGCGTCATATTTAACCTTAAATCTGCCGGAAAACGCTGAAATATGCATGTATGCGGACTTAAAATATCGTACGGCGCGGGCGAAAGTGGGCAGGACCACATTAACCTAATCTAAAGGCCAGATTTACCTTTTTTTTTTCTGTGACAAAATAGGAGGCTGATGCTGCTCAATCGAACATGCCGCACGCGCGGTCTCGGTCTGGCACTAACAGGCAGAAACCGTTGCCCTTTGCTTCCTAGCGCGCTGTTCGGCGTCCAACAAATTCATGTACTTGTCAGACGATGCGAAAAGCAACCACTGAACAAATAGCGCGCGAAAACAACGACAGTCACTAGTGTGCGGCTGAAGAGGCAGCCGTGCAAATTTGCCAATTGCTGTAAATATTCGCTGACAGCTATGATAACAGACTGAATACCGCTCGGTGCTTTACGGGGGATGACACTCACTCCTAATCAGCGAGTACAGGAGGCGCTCGGCGCTTGACGAGCTTGACGAAGAGCTTTCCCAGCGAAGATCAGCGTCCGTGTTGACGGCTGCCATTTTCCAGGGATTGACGGATGGATGGATGACTGGATATTGCTGAACCCTTTGAATCCGAGCAGCAAAACGCCGCCCTCTAGCGGAAGTTTTGGCGCAGGCGCAGTGGCGCAGGCGCTCGGCTTGCCGCTCTGAAAAGTTGTGGAACGTTCAGCTGGGCACGCCGATTCTCTCGCTCCAATCCAGAGGCGCTCCGGGATCTGGTAGCTCCGACTCGGATGATTGGAGCGTTCAAAAGCGACCAGCCGAACATACCATAAGAGGGAAGAAGTGTTATGTATCAAGCAACCAAGCTGCCGCCCAGAACAACCGGAGAGCGCTAGCGATGATCTCGAGCGAATGCATGCACGTGGCGGCGCGAGCATCGGGGACTGACCTAAGCACCATGCCAGTCCTGTCCGTTCCGTACCAGTAAAGATCTCGATGTATTTAACCCTATGATAGCGGTACTGGCCAGATTTGGTGTACATGTACAGGCTTGACAGTACAGAGGCAAGCGACACCCCGCCGTCGACCTCATAGACAGGTCGTAAAGTAAATTTAGTATACGTAAAGGGAGGACACTAAAGCCGAATCGCGGTGCAGAGAGTGCGTTTAATGCCCTCCGCTATGTGGCGCTTTTCTGTAATTTGGTTGAAATTAATTAGAACCCTTTCCGTGAGGAGTATGTATTCGTTAAATTGTTATGCTTTATAATTATTTGAAGTACTTGAAGCGACTAAATAGTTCTAATCTAATGCGTCAGAAAACCACGTGATAAATGGCGCCTGGTTGAAGTTGAAGACGACAAAGATGCAGTTGAAGACGACAAACGCATGCACAAAATTTCGGAAAAAACTCTGCGAGACGCAGTGTCGAATTTAGATATATAATAAAGTTCCCAAGCCGGGATATATATATATTGGACGTCCACGGGACATCCAGGACATTCATGAAACTTGTGGGGGCGTCGTGAGAAGAAAAAGACGGCCGAGAGAGGCGCGAGAGAGGGCGAGGGGGGGGGGGGGGGGGGGGCAAGCGCGAGAAAAGGGAAAGAACGTGAGGCACGAGGAGAACCCGAAAAACCGAGAGCTGAAGCGGGCCGCCCAGTGACGGCCGTCGTGTTTCCCCGTCACTCCGCTGCTTCGGGACCGGCGGCCGGTGGCCAGCGAGCACAGCCAGGCAGTCTCCCGGGCACGAGAACAACAAGGGAGGCACCCGGCAACCGGCAAAAAAGATTAGAGCAAGTTACGATTACTTCCAAACTTCCCGTTGTGTGATTTCCCTTGGGGA